CCGTTAAAACAAAATCTAAAATCATTTAACAAAGTTGACTGTTTGCCAAAAAGTCTTTTCTTTTAAGTCAACCAAGTCCCTTCACAATGTTTGTGCCAAAGTAGATACATCTGTTAGCTGCCTTGACTTACCAGGTAAGTGATCTTCAACCCACATGATTCAAAAGACAGATAATTCCAGTTCAAATGTGACTCACAGCAAGATTTAAAATACAGTTCTGTGCTTCATAGGTCTTCTGGTTCTTTTAGCTAAGACATTAAATCTGAGACATTCACAGGATTGCTATACTACAATGACCAGATATCAGACATGCCAAACATGGGTGAAGCCAAGCCCTCTGCAAGTCCAGGATCTGGTGATGCCCTCTTCCCCTCTTGGGATTCCCCCCTGTTGAGCTCCTATTGGAGATAGAACTCCAAGAAAGATGTGAAGAGAGAAACAAATAGAACAAAGGCAAGATGTGAGTCTGGGAAAATAAATAATTGCCTAAGAGAGGAGTCTGATTTAGTTGAGGGCTTTCATGATATCTGCATATGAGTTGAGACTGCAAAGGTAACTCAAAATTCACTCACTCAACCAGTAGTTTTTCAACCTATGATTCTGCAGACAGAAGTAAATTGTGGGATGAGCTGGAAGAACTCAGATTAAATTGTTTCTTAGACATTTTATGCTCCTTTATACCAACTCAAGAGTCATGGTAGAAGTCTTAACTAATTAGATAATAATTCTGAGACAGAGCACAATGATTGGATCTCACTTCTAAGAGAGATGAATGCTTGCTCCCCAGGTACAACAGAAAGGGAAGCACCCTTCTCTTCACTGTAGGAGGAATTGTTTTATTGCCACATTTGGGAGTATTCTCATTAAAACATGGTCCTGCACAGAAATTTTTTTTCATTAAATGGAAGGACATACATCACAAATGTCAATGGTGGTTAGCTTTGTATGGCAGATTTAATAGAGATTTTTTTTCTTTTGATTATGTGTGTGTGTGTGATTTTTAGACTGGTCTTCTTTGATCATGTTATTTGAGCTAAATTTTTTAAGTTACACATGTTGGGGGTAAAAACTAAGTGGTAGAGGAAATATGAAGTTAGAAGGGAAATGTGTGTTTTATTTTTGTGTTTAAGAGACTTAAGCTCCACTACTTCAATACTCAAGTCATCATTTTGGATAGACTTCCTTTAATACAGTGATTCTCAAACTTCCCTGAACCATGGAATCACCTGGGAAGCATTAAAAATCTGAATTCCAAGGCCACTAACCCCCTTTATTTACCCCAACCAATGGGTCAGAATCAAAATAGAGTCAAGTGGTTGGTATTTTTAAAAAGTCAACTCATTATTATTAAGGTTCCATACTGCAATTTTTTTTTAACCTCTATAGCATTGACCAGGAAGTTACATTACTTAAAATTAGATTCCATGAGTGTTTTACTGCTTTCTTTTATTGTCACTTTCTTTTATTGGGTGGGTTTTGGTAACATCTGACATAAAAGTTTTCCAGGTTCTCTGGTGTACAACGTTGGGACTTCGATCAGTCATATAGGCACATGTGATTTATTAGTTGCTTGCACAAGGTGGGCCGCTTAACAAAACACTATGGTTTGTTTTAAATGGATCATTTAAATATCAGTTGTAGCCTGTGTTCGCTGATTCTCCTTTCTAAACTTCCCTACTGGTCACTCACTAAAGCAGTCCCAGAATGGGTTTCTGAGAAAAACACAGACTTTGCCTCAGGTACACCTTTGCCATACCTCCATCTTGAATCAGGACGGCCATCAACTCA